TTAGGGCCTGTCCTGGAAATTCTGACACTAGTCAGAATGTTTAGCTATTCATGCTTGAGATAACCAAAAATAAGGGTTAATGACCATGGAGCCATAGTTTATCACCTGAGTATAAAAGCTGGTAATATTTTCCTCTTTAACCCTTCAGATTGAGCATTCTAAGGTGTACTTCATGAGTCTCTAATGGAAATGTTTCCAGTGGGATTGAGTTTCAGTCATCTGTAATGAGCACCCAGTTACCAGTGACCTAGTGCTGGTATTACCCCATCTGCTTTCCCAGTTTCATGGCACTGCCTTTGTTCTTGCTGCCTGAGCTGATTATTTCCACGCAGACAAGCTTGTAAATCTTTTTTTCAATCACATTTTCCAGAAAATCAAGATTAGTGAACATAATGAATCTGTCTGATTTGTTGCAAATATTTTCCTGATTAATTATTTGTTGGCACTGTAAAATTCAATATGGTTATCTGTGATGTTTTTGGTGATTTTTTTCAAAGCTTTTTATATTTTCTCCTTGAAAATTTAGAGGCCATTAAATGTTTCCATTATTTTCTATGGTTTAATTTTTTCAATTTAACTCTTCAATAGATGTGATATTAGACTTTTATGATTGGTGTAAAATGAGAATCTTTTGAATTTTGTTATGAAATTAATTATCTACTATTGATATACATACACACATATACATATATGTATAGGAAATATATCATCCCATATATACTTTTTTATCTATACTATGGTCTAGATTGAAACTCTTTTCTGGAAATTTTCTGCTTCACTAACATGATATTTATTTATTATGCCACTTTTATATGCTTTAACTCCTAGAACAAAAAGTTCCTCCCAATTATTCACCTAATGTTTTAAATATTTGTTGATATTCTCTACTGTTCATATTTCTAGATGAGCTATGTAACCACTTCATCAATCAAGTTATCCTATAAATATCCCATTAGGATTTTTATTGAATTTGGTTTAAAACTTCTACAATAATCTTCTAGTGTGATGTCCTACTTTTCTTCATGTAAGTTCTACTCATTTCTTAAAAATTTTTCCCAAGTAGTTAATAATTTTACTGGTAATATGAACATCTCTATCTTTTTATAAGGCATAAGAAAAGTAACATATCCCTTAAACATTTTTACTGGAATGAAAAAAAATCCATCAAATTTCTATTGTTACACTATCATCAATATTGAACCACAGAGCCAGATCATATACAGGGACTAAGATTTTCAACAATTTAGAGTAGCCAATAATTCCTCCTACCACAACAATTAGCATTGAGCCTCACATTAAGAAATTTTTGTCATATATACATATTTTCTGAATGCAATGAAAAAATATTTTTACATCCCAAAGTAGAAAATAATTGAGGATAAAACATATAAATCTGCCAAAGACATCTGCACAAAATTTGTTTAATTATTAAACTATTATTATTTTGCCAGTGTAGTCATCTGTGCTTAAACATGGGTATATGCATCAATATGAATAATGTAATGTTTGAAACTCACTAACGTTCATTGTCTGTAATATAAGCAGCAAAGGAAATTCTATTTTAAGTAAAGCAGGGAAAGGTTAATGTATGTGATTTACTCTTTATAGGGTTAGCATTTTCATAACTGACACCAAAGGGAGGGGGAAAGAACTATTAAATTTCAGGTAGGAAATGGCTACCATTTTCATAAAGTAACCATGTTTTTCACTTGAGACTTAGCAGTTTCATGAAGGTTAACAGAGGACCATTGAAGGTACTTATTGGAAGGAAGTAAATGAAAGAGCAATTTGAAAAAAAAATAGCATGAGATTTTTAGAGAGGTTTTATATTTTGAAACAAATGACAAAATATGATAGCTCCTTGACAATCCATCTCTGTCTGAAGCCCTCAATAAACAGAACAGTTTTTATCACATCTATTGCAAACTGTTCTTGCCTCAAAACAACCCACTTCTTCTTATTGAATTTCGAGTGAAATAGCAGTAGAACATATAACTTATTTTAATGATCCATATCAGTGAGTCACCCCTCGGTTTTACTTCAAGACAACCAATATAGCTTTGTCTTCTTGTTGACTACCCAGATTGTGTATTCAGGTTAGTAGGTGAATTTGGTATAAAGAACAATGCAAAAGAGTTCCATCTTCTCAACATATTTTTAAGTTGATACTACTCTGCCACAAGTTTAAATAGTTGTATATATAATAATATTATAGTGCATGTTTTAGCATTTTAAAATAAAACTTAATTACAGTTTTAAATATATTCAATGGAATCTGAAAAGCATAATGATTTTATATCCACATTGTCCTTTTTTAAAAATAAATTCTTTAATATAACTTTCATATTGTTTTTACTCTGAATTTGACTATTAAATCTATTACCCCAAAGAATTTTATTGTAATATAAAATGCTCTTTTGCCTGAAAGATACTTATCGACTACCCACAACACCTTCAATGAAATATATAAATACAAATAGATAAATATGTATATATTATATATATGTATATATGTATATATATGTATGCATGTATACATATAACATTTATATGTATACATACATATATATATATATAAATGGCAACCTAACAATTTACTTTGACCAAATAATTCTAAGTGCCTAAAAAAAATTTCTTCTGGATGGATGACATGTTTATTGTAATAATTATTACCTCAAAGTTAATCAAAACAACATAAATTTATTACAGATTTTGACAATGAGTAAAAGTAAATCTCTTAGTAAGATAGAAATAAATGCTTTGTCAATTAATTTAAAATTCATTGAGCAGAAAGTTACTGTTAAAATGAGCAGAACTGTATAGAGATTAACAAAGAGAAGATAAAACATCACCATACATATGCATAGTTACTTTAAATCTAAGGAAGATGTGGAAGAAATAAATAAAGAAGAGGTTGAAGAATAGCAGCAAGAACACTTATACTGAAGTAATAAAAATAGACATGGACTCAGATGATCAAATAATTTTTACTTGCAAAAGTTAATGAAAGTAGCTTTTAAATGACTGATAAAATATAAAACACTAATATTCCCACAGAGTGTTTCCCTTCTCTGTCAAGGAAGAACTGGAATTTGACAGAAGCAAACAGAACCTTTTAGCCTCTTTTCTCCAGTCTGCACTGAGTCTCCAAATTTCTCCTTGTTTCTGAGTGGATGAAGTTCTGTTAGCATGTGCTTCACAGATGAATATTTCTCAACTTATTTCTTCGTAACAAGTCTTGCATGCTCTCATTCTAATATATGTCAATGGCTAAATTTAGCCACAGAGCACTACTCTCTTTTGCTGCTTGGAATAAAACAAGGTGCCCTTGCCTGTGGTATTTCTGACAGATCTGCTTTGCTCTCGCTGAACATTTCTTGAGGCACAATATATTCTTTGGTGATAACTGGGGAGCAGGAAAAGTAAAGTTGTTAACAAAAAAAAAAAAAAAAGGTATGATTCTATGATTCCAGCTGCCCGCCTGTATAGTCCTAGAATTAAGAACCCCAAGATAGGTTAAGATATTCCATTTTGTCCTCAAAATAAACAAATATAAAGAACAAAAAGGGAGCCATCTGAAGTTTTTAAAAAGAGCCCAATATTTTGCTCAATACTTTGAGTTATGTGTTTGCCTTGCACCAATAAGACAAAGTTCCACAGGATGAGGGAGGTATATACCTTGCAAAATGGAGAAACAACACCAAGAAGGTAGAAGGAGAACTGGCAAGTGCCATACACAAGCATGTTCCCAGACAGCTCAATTTTAGAAATCACATATAGGAAACAGAAGATCTAGAAACAAGTCCTATACCACTATCTATGGCTGTGTACCCAAGTTTGAAGAAAGGCCTGGTGGCAGAGTGGGTTAAAGCACAGCACTAAGAAGCTAAAGCCACTTTAGCATGAGTTCGATCCCCGCCCTGGAGGTGACCTACATGGCATGGCAGATATCTCCTGACCCGCCTGCTGCTCCTCTCAGCAGCGTACTTCATCAATCTGCCTGTTCTACTCCCCACTCTGTCAGGTGAAGCCTCTCACCGCCCCTGCACCTCTGGCCTGTACCCCAGTTCTGTATGCACAAATAAATAAATCTTTTTTAAAAAAAAATACCTCTATCTTGTGATCTTAAACCCCTGAATCATATGCAGTGTTGTAAACCAATGTTACCTCAAAAAATAAAATTTCTCTAAGACAGTCAATTCCTTCTCTTCATTTAAATGAGAACATAGTACAGCTGATTTACATTGACATTGGGGATTTTTCAGACCATCACTAATTCTGCAAACTATTCATAATAGCAGCATCTAGTACAATAATCCTCATGTAGAATGGAGGCTAAACAGATAAGAACCTGTAAAGTTCCTGAACACTGCAAGGAGATACTGAGGCTGACAGTCTTGTAAAACTGATCTCTAGCTTCCCCCTCCCCTCCAACCAGCCTTTGTCTCTATTCCCAGCATCTAAGTCAGTACTGTATCTCCAAGCTTAGCATGTGACAGGAATTCAAAAATTTTTTTTTACTGCTGTGTAAATACTCATAACCCCACTTTTCTAATTCCAACTCTCTACATTAGTTAGAAAAGTTTCTGTGGAATTTCAGAGCTCCTGAAGAGACTGATCTAAAAAAGATCTCTGTTTAAACCTTTTATGCTCCTTGGGTATAAACAATGCTGGTGGGTGGGACTGTGGTCATCAGAATGCAACTTTATCATGCTGAAGCTGCTACTTGCAGCCTCTATAACTATCGTTTTTTCCGGTCTGGTAATTTCACTAACAAGCTTACTTTTACAAATATAATGATAGACTTCCCAGGGGTAAATACGACCTATATCAAAATATAAATCACATTCTAATTACATGGTCAAATCTATTCCTTCAATCCTTCATATATTACAAATTCAACCCAATATTTTCACCTCCTTGTGCTACTATGGCCAATAAGGTAAATATTCTAAACACATGAACCTGAAATGGAATCTTATTTTCAAGAGATCAATTACTTATATTCGCTGGTATAGGTGGTAAGCTCGCTGTCATTGAGCATCCACTTGAACTCCAGAGGCCAGCTCCCTTCAGCAAGGCAAGTGAGAACAAGGCGGTTCCCTTCCAGGTGGATCTGTGGTAGGCCTGGCTCCGTTTTAAAATATGGCACAACATCATCTGAAATAGAGAGAGAGGAATAAACTGAGTAAGATATACATGAAAATGGCATTTGTCTAATTAATCAAACACTTTTTTAACCTAATTTTAAAAAGTAGACATGATCTCTATTTGGCCATTAAGCAATAAATAATTCTGAACCTCTAGAAATATGCTATACCCTGGACATTTCAACAGTCTGGAAGCTCAAAAAGAACAACATTTGAAATCACCTTACAGGTTCCTCTAAGTTACCTCCATTCATGATTAGTACTTGCTTCTCAAAGGGGAAGATTAAGTAATCTGTGCCCTCAGAAAACACTGGTTTTAAGTAGCATTATATTCTCAAAGTACAACCAAGGTATACTCAAAGGCTCTAATAGAGAAATTTCTACTATGGTCCTCAACTGGTAAAACCAAAGGAAGTAGGATAAGTAAGGTTAACATACACACATAAATGAACTACAGCCTGGTATTCATTACACACACACACACACACACACACGTCTCTTTCAGCAACTTTCAGAGGGTTATACAATTAGATTATGTGAATATTCATACAATGGAAAATTATATAGAAATGAGAATGAATCAGTCATTGCTACAGATAACATATACCACAATGAACTCATAGACAAATGTGGAGTTTCTACTGCATAGAAAGATGCCAGAAAGAAAAAGGTTTATAGCATATGTTTCATTAAAGAGGGAAAAGGGTTCAATGAACTATGGTAGAAGATAATTGGTGCTATAATGGTAGGCACAGTGTGACAGCATACATTGTAGAGGTGTGCGCCTATACCCCTAAAATATGTGTGCTATAAATTAACACCATTATGTCAGTGGACATATTAAAAACAACAACAAAGAGTTTACAAAAGTGGAAAACTAGTCTGTGAGCAGTCAGAATGGAGGGTGGGGAAGGCAGGGTGATAACAGAGCAGCTTATAGAGGGAAAGATAAGATCTATTTCTTGAAACAATTACACTGAAACATTTACATCTTAAGAATTCACAGACTTCCCCATAAGATTTGTGCAGTTTATATGTAAAAACATAGGCTACTTAGCTTCTAGTTCTAACTCCACCACTAATTAGCTCCATGACCTTGATCAGGACATGTGGGTTTACGTTTATTTATCAGTGAAATAAACCAAATTGGATGACTTCTCATTTTTCTAGTAAAATGTCCAAGGCACATGTGCATAACCTGCTTTCTGTCTACCTTTCAGGCCTCTACCCAATCTGCTCACTCACAACCACTCTAGCCACACTCAACTTTTTCCCTGTCAGGTTAAGCTCTTTCTTCACTTGATCCATCCCTTCTGGGAGGTACTTCCCCAGCACAGAGTATGTTGATCATGTTTGTTCTTCAAGTAAAATGAACCTCCTCCCCACCAACACATATTGACAATGACATTTATTTCATTCCAGTAACTATCAGGTTTTGAAATTAAAGAGTTTATGGATTACACCCAGTACACCCCCTCCCCTAGCTCAATCACTTCTAAATTTCCATCACCTAGGATAATGCCAGAAACAAACCAGATATGGAAGAAGCAATTGTTTAATAAATAAATATAATAAAAATACAGAAACCTGTGTAACAGATAACAGATAGTATTCACTGAGGATTTACAATGTGCTGAGAACTGTCCTAAGGGCTTTGTATATATTTCTCTATTCAATTCTCAAAAAACCCTAATGGACTACATGCTTTTATGTACCCATTTTACAGACAAACAGAAAGAGGCACAGAGAAACTAAGTAACTTTCTCAAGACCACCCATATAGTAAGTGGTAAAATCATGATGTGAAACCCAGATCATCTGCTCCAGAACGTGCCAATTCTGTGTATTATGATTCTAAATGCCACAGCTTTCTCAAGGGGAATTTCTTCTCAAGAATACATATCTTAATTTCAAATTGGTATGAATTTGTGTAATTACTAAATTGGAAATTTAAGTTAAGAGTACTATATTTTAGGCAAATTAAGCACCAAACCTCATATTATCAGTGTTAAAATTGAGACTATTTTTTTTACATTAAACTCATACATATAGGTGGTCTCTTTTTTTTTTTTTTAAGATTTATTTATGCATACAGAACTAGGTTACAGGCCAGAGGTGCAGGGGTGGTGAGAGGATTGACCAGAGACAGAGTGGGGAGCAGAACAGTCCGACTGATGAAGTACACTGCTGAAGGGAGCAGTGGGTGGGTCAGGAGAGAGCTGCCTTACCATGTGGATCACCTCCTGGGGCGGGGATCGAATTCATTGCTGAAGTGGCTTTAGCTTCTTAGTACTGTGCTTTAACCTGCTGTGCCACCGGGGAGGACCCTATAGGTGGTCCCTCTTATATGGATTAGATAGAATGCAGTATACAACCTATTTTGCTATTATACTGATCACTGTATTCCATTACTGATATACTGGTAATATGATATTGCCACTCTTTTAATAGTATTCATTTATTCATTTGAATAAGTAAATGTTAAAGTGCATCTGTGAGTGTGGTAAGAGCTTATAGTAAGAATATGGCAAGTCAATGAAATGGCATACAAGAGCGAGGAGCTGCAGGATCGGTAGGAGTCCACGTGCAAAGGCCTGGTGGCAGTAGAAAACATGGCAAATAATATGGAAAGTATGAAAGACTGGAAAACAAGTAGGGCTGTAGGTACAGAGAGAGTTAATGGAAACAGGCTAGACAAAGACACAACCTTGTTTCACATTATCCCTGCGTGATTATCAAGAGTGCTACTTTACGTTCAAAATTTTTCTCATAAGAATAAATTATATGACCACTCTATTTATAGAACTTCCTCAAAAAAAAAAAAACTGTCAGTAACATGACAATGACTTGTTAGTATTATATACAAAGAACAGGATACCTTTGAAGGGTCTGTGTTGTTAAAAGAGCATTTCGGTGGCAACAAGGAGAAGGAGTTGAAGAGGGGTAAAAGTAGAGGGAAACCAGTTAGGAGACCACTCAGCAGTACAGGCTAAAAGTTCTAAAAGGTTAGGGACTAGAACTAGGGCTAGGTTTAGGGTTAGGGTTAGTTTGACCAAGGTAACTAGTGACTGTGGTAGTGGATATGGAGAGGAAATAGATTGCTTTAAAACAATAATGAGAGGGCACAAAATATACTGATGGATGAATACTGGGTGAGGGAGAGAAAAGGGTCAGGAAGGGTTCCTAGGTCTCTCACTTGCATAATTCTCTGCTCAATAAATATGCATTATATATGTAATTAGAACTAGGAATTCAAAGACAATTAAGACATGGTTGCTATCACATACATATTATAGTCTAGCTCTGATCCAGGAAAGAGACAGTAAAGGGTTAGTTACTGTGACCAAAATATATAACAAGGAGCAATCAATCCTTGCCTTGTTGGAGTTCCACCTGCTTCTGCTGTATACCACATGCTCCAATCTACAATTTCAAGTGCATTCTTAAGTTCTGATTGTCAACCATGTGTCCAATTTCCCTTTTTGCTCAAATTCTCCCCTCTTGTGACCCAAACAGTCTAATAAAGCTGACTTGCAGTGGATATAGCTCTGATACCTTGGGATTTACTGAGCTACAGGCTTTATTAATGTCCTGCCATTTGCACTATATTTAACAATAGAAAAAGAAATGCCACTTCAGATGGTTCCAGTGTTATACAAGAATGAGTCATAAAAAATACATCTTTTTGAAAGGAAAAGCTTCAAGATAGAAGCTCAAGAATTTGAATTTGGCTTTACAATTGACAGAGTATCATCAATTTAAAATATTATGGGATGACTTTGAATTTAAATGACACCATAATTCATTTTTTTAACAGAATTCATGCCACTAAACATGCCTATACTATGTACAAATTATGCAGGTCACTGTGATCTGGTAGGAAAAGACATAGTCATAAAGAATAGTTTCATAGAGCTGGCAAGCAAATATCTTGCAATCCAAATGACTGTAGAATTGTGGTTAGCACAGATGCTAAAATAAGAAAAAGGGAGGGCAAATATGTTAATGCACTGGGATTTTAAGTGCCTAACTTAAATTTATTACTGCAAATACTATAATATAGATTAGCCAATATACTAAATACCATAGTTGTATCTATAACTATAGCCCAATTTACCATTAAAATATGTACAGTAGATCATGACATTAAAAGAGGACACAAAGGTAGCAAAACACAAAAGCTTTAGGAAGAATGAGTAAAAGAGGCAAAAAAAATGAGCTTTCAGGTCTGAATGGACCCCCTACAAAAGCATGTGATCTTCATATATCTTAAATAGGGACAGAAAAAAATATGAAAAGCTCTATAAAGACAAAAATTGAGTTATCTGTGAGATAAGATCATCACAATTTACCTAGGGGAATGCGAATGGTCCACTTAGTGCTCTTTAAAAGGGTGTGTGTGTGTGTGTGTGTGTGTGTGTGTGCGTGTGTGCGTGTGTGCGTGTGTTGGGTGGAGGAGGGGTGGGATGCATGTGTTTTTCCAAAGAATAATAGACCTCCCCTTCCTCAAGAAAAATGAGCAGAAATTAACTGTGCTTCAGTATTCTAACAATGAACATTATAAGACCCAGGAATGAATTACTAAGGAAAACTGTGAAATTTCCATTGTCACATACTTTTAAATGGAATATAAATCATTTATGAAAGAGAGAGTTCCGTCTGTCTGGATAATACAGATTTAAGGTCCATCCAAAAGAGAGGAATGGACTTAATGTTCTCTCAAGACAACATCATAATTTTATGATGTAGAAGTCACTTCCCTAAATGGACTTTTAAGGTTTTTAAGATATAAAGTAAATGGATTTAACTTTACCTGTCCAATGTGGAGATAATTTTCTGCTCATCTAAAAAGGAACCATGACCCATTTGCCACAGTAAAAATCATTTACATGGGGAACAGCTGGAGGAAAAGCTCTGAAGCAGAGCCATGAGCTGTGGTTCCAAGTCTTTCTTCCCAGTCCGAAGAGGGATG